CGCTGCCTTGGCCAAGGGGCGACGTTTCCTTCGGGCCGCGGCGCAGGGCGTGGGGCTGAATCCAGCGCGGGCAGCGCGGGCTCCGTTTGCCGAGCCGTGCACGAGAGGCGGCAGCAGAGCCCTTCCCCTCAGGCCTGCAGGGCGATGCAAAGCGCCGCCGCCGTTGACCCAAGTTCTAGCCGGAAGGTTGGATGCGGAGGCTTCTACTCTGCTCGCTTCGGTTGAGTTTTGCACGGTGTTCTACAGAGTTGTAGGTGAGCTGGTTTTTAATGCTGGGAAAGTAGCTTATTTCTACAAAAGCGGCGAGGGGTCCTGTGGCACCTTAGAGACTCACTGAAGTGTAGGAGCATAAGCTTTCGTGGGCAAAGACCCACTTCACATGCATCTGACGAAGTGGGTCTTTGCCCACGAAAGCTTATGCTCCTACACTTCAGTTAGTCTATAAGGTGCCACAGGACTCCTCGTCGCTTTTGCAGATTCAGACTAACACGGCGACCCCTCTGATACTTAGCTTATTTCTAGTGGCTAGATAACATGGCAGCAATCGGTGATAAAATACTTAATCTGTATTTATCATCTGGCACTGGCTTGGTTATGATGGCATAACTCTACAGGGGTCTCCAATTATTTGCCTTGAATTTCCCATCTTTAAAAAGGAAACAAGGTACTTTCCCTTACAGGAATGGTTAGTAGGGTTGCTTAATGTTTGTAAAGAGAATGCAAACCCTACAAAGTGTGCTATTATCAACTTGGCAAGATGGAGAACAAACTGACAATGATCCCACCAGCATAGGGATTAAAAACTCCTGTGATCTTGGCTAGAACCTCCATTCTCAGCTTCAGAGTTCGTTTCAGATTTAAATCGGAACCATATCAGCTGCTTTCCTGAAGGGATGGGTAGAAAGTGCCACATCTTAGTGTAAACAGCTGATGAAACTTGCAGCTACAGTCTCTTTATTCTATCCAGATCCTCAACCTGAGCAGAGAGTGGCTTTGGCTCTATCCACAAGAACATAGTGTTCAAATGGCTGATGCTGATTCAGGTTTAAACTGAAGTTCTATATTTGTGGATGTTGCAGGTTCCTGGGACTGATTAACAATGGGGATGATTAACATTTTTAGACATTTCTCCTGTAAGTGCATTATTTCCATAGCATATCATGTCTTTTGTATCGACTATCCTGTGCCCTGGATATTCACTACATAATGTTGGCACTTGGCATGCTGTTTTTAAAAGGGAAGTAATTTGAATCCTTACCAAGTACTGTGTTAGGGAAAGCAGCATTGGCTAGAGCTAGGGATCATTCTGAGACTTGGTTTGTTTTCTGCAACTGACTTTGAGAGAATCACATGGTTTCCTACAATAGGGATATTCCTAAAATAAGGATATTTACTCGCCTTTGTAAAGCACATTTAGATTGAGTAATGGAAGTTCTCTGTTCAGATTATCAATATAAGAAAATTACATGAAATGAGAACCTACTTGTGAATGCTTTTTAAATACAAGTTGAGTGGGTGGAAGTGAGTAATGAGAACCTGGAATGGGTGAGATATGGAGGAAAAAACACTTGAAGTGTAAGGAGTGGGAGGTTTGAGACCAGAAGCAAAGGTATAGTAGAGCAAGAACTAAATTATCCAGAAGGTATTTTTAACAGCATTAAAACAATTTTGGTAGATACAGTAAATTTAAAATTTCATGTGGGTATTCTAATTACATGCACAAATAAGGAGCTTTCATTTTGGGGGTCTTGGGGCTAACAGATCTTTTTTGCACATTTGCCTGTTTGAGGAAGGGGAAATTTGTTCTTTACTTTTGCATTATAACAAGTTGCCTTATTTTAAGATGGCTTTAGATCACAATTAAAAGAAGCTAAACTGGAAAGATGCATCTGGAGTCACAGTACATCCTATTGCTGGGTTCATTTGACTTGATACAAATTAATTTAAATTATTGCTCCTGTATTATAAGATCCCAAGCTGCATTGCTGAGGTGGGAGCAATAATTTAAATTAATTTGTATTATAAGATCCCAAGCTGCATTGCTGAGGTATCTCTACATTCTTTTTAAAAAAATCACTTGGTATAACCTTGGAGAGTTTGAGAGTGTGTGGAAATGTATTTCCCTCATGATTGCTGGATTGCATGATTATTTCTAGGGTTGCCCATGAATGCTGGGCTGCTGCTGGAATCTTCCTTCCTCGATGAACATGGAATGAGCAGCATAATGCTTATTTTGGACTAAACAGAGGATTACATGGACTTTTCAAATAGCAAGGAAAATTGGTCACATTTTGGCCTACTAACCTAGACAGTACCCATTTGAAATGCTTTTATATTTGGTTTTATGCACTAGTTAAATCTACTTTAGGGTGGGTGAGAAGCAATCACTTCTGTAAAGTGAGAATTTGTGATTGTTCCTCACTTGTTATGCATTTCGTTATTTGAGACTTATAGCAATCATTTATTTTTCTGCCACTGTGACTGTTATTATTGATCAAAGAAGCCATTCGAGTATTTTCCCCAATTTACATTTGAAACGAGTTTGAATTACACGACACATTTCTTGGAGCACTAATCTCTCTCCCCCCCCCCTCCCCCCATGCCACCTCTACCCTGAAACTGAAAGGAAACGGCTGTGAATACGCAACTTATCATTCGGCAATCTGAAAACATAGAAAATTAAAACAAAACTTTATTGGGAAGTTAGGACAGGTATAGCTGCTGGATGCATTATGCAGTCTCATTGTGGCTCTTTACTGCTGGGTGACATGGCATTAGATGCTGATAGGTTTACTGAAAGTGAGAAGGCTGGAAATCCATTGACATTCTGTTCAAAAACAGGAATTGCTGATCTTCATTTCTTCTTGGCTTTGTGCCCTCACAGCTCAGGCTCTAGCAGCTTGAATGTTTCCTCTTGATCATAATCCATTTCATGTACATTTGAGATGCATTTAAATTTTCATTGCCATGCCCCAGTCACCGTTTATGCAATAAGCCTCAGTTTACCATGCGTACGTGTGGGAGCTACTGGCTGTGGTTTAACTACAAACTTTTACTGTTCCTAATTCTAAAACTCTCTGCAATCTTGGAATCTCCATGCTGGAATCTGTTGCTATCAGTTTTTTCCTCCTTCCTGTGCCCTGGCTTATTGGATGGCTCATGAGTGGTTTGGCTGCTAGCCTTCTGAGGTGGGTCACTCTTAAAAAGCTGAATCCTGGCAGTTTCTCCAGTCCTAGCTGTCTCTTTCCTTGGCTTTGATGCATTTACAATCCAATATGTAGGGCTGGGGAAGAGACCTTAGTGAGCCAGGCTGATTCTGCAGCTGCTCTGTTCACAGAAAATCCCACTGAAATAAAATAGGGAGCAGCTGTTGAATCTGCCCCTTAAAAAGCTTCTGCTAAATTGCATAGCTCTTCTGCAGTGCAGGAGCCAGGAAAACAATTCTGAGAGGGGAAGGGTTTGTTGTTTAGGGTTTAGAAGTCTTCACGCTTTGAAGTTTCTAGTGTGTGGCAGTGAAGGTAGCCATAGTAGTTTTGTTTATCCCTTATCTCTTCAATGGTGTGGCTTATGCTGGTAAGGTCGGTAAATTATTACCCTGTCTGAAGATCCTATTCAGATATGAGCCAGACCCACATCTACTCTCTCCTTTTACACTGCTTACAGGACTTGGGAGACAGCTGTTGCTATCGAAATCCCATAGGTACAGTAAGTCACGAGCCTGTGTGCTCACAAAGATGGAGTCAGCGCTGTGGAAATGTTGAGGGTTATTTCAGTTCTCTGTAGACAAAGCTGCGCTGTGTGAAGCTCCCTCCAGTTGTTTCCTTCAAAGTATGTTCCAAGCTCCCCACTGGAAAATGTCTCTGCTCAGTATCCAGACTCTGAGCTCCACACGGACCTAAGAATGCGTTTCTACATACTTTATGCTTGTCAGTCTTCTGGGATGAGAACCAGCCAGTCCTGGCTTTCTGGAGATCTTGCACCAGGTGGCTTAAATTTGGCTTTCTAATTGTCTAAAGTAAATTGTTGAGATCTTCTGAGCTTCCTCTTTGCCAGACTGACCATTGGCAAAGGCAACTATTTAAGAAAGCTTGGATCTTAATGTATGTGGCAGCATTGGGGTACCTGGTGCTTTATACATGTAAGTGCACCAGCCCACCCTTCTGCTGAGCTTGCCGTCTACCTTAGACAACACACAGGTAAAAGGTGGGGATGGAGCAGGGCACCCTAAAAACAAAGTAACTTAATAGTTATGTTAGTAGTCCTAGTGATATATTTCCTGTATATGTATTTGAAATGTCTGTCTGTCCGTGTGTGAGTCCATTTGTTCAGGAACTGTTTCCAAAAGGTAAGAGCTAGGACCACCAAGTTCAGTCCGCAGCTTTATCTTATAACGTAAAGTAAGGTCAGGGTTTGGTTGTGCCAGGGTAGTGGGATATGCATGGTATGCAGTTGTTTTGTAGCAAATGGGAAAGAGAGAGGGGTGTGATAGCAGGAACAGTTATACTCATGCACGATCAGCACAGAGACATGAATGACCACAGGGGGATGGCAAGCATGACCTCTGTCACCCTCGGCGAAAACTGGCAGGCACGCCATGCAGGTCTGTGTCTCCTTCCCCCCCTTTCTCCCTGGCTCTGGGGAGAAGCCAGCAGGTGGGGTGCATGACTCCCACTGCCCCAGGGAGAAGCCGGTGGCCTCCCTCACCCACTCCCCGGCCTCCCCACCCTGTGCCCTGTAAGTCTTCTAGTTAAAAATAACAAGTTTTTGTTTGTACTGTAATGTAAACTGTTAAGGTCAGGGATGACTGGTTAGCAGTGCACAGGTGGCCACAGACTGTTTTTAGGGGAGTCTTGGAGGAAAGGGAGGGTGTTTATTGGCCCGCTGGAGGGGAGATTATCATATAGGGAGTGGTATGACAATGTGCATAAGAGGTGGGAATGTAAGTCTGTATTTGTGGCAGTGTCGTGCATGAGAGGGAATAGTGTAGAAATGCAGAGGGTCTTAACCTGCTCATGCATGTAGCTAGGGTTGAGGGAGAGTGTTGGTTAGGGATGACTTTTCAGTTTCCGCATCTCCTGTCAGCTTAATAGAGCCAGTATTGGTAACATGAGAAATTATAGACAGTATCACTCACTGGTAAATATTCCCTTTTTTTACTGGACGCACAACTTTCCTCTGTCCTATAGCTTATAAAATTACTAGCAGATGTACCCAGCATTGCTTGGGTCCTTAACTGTACTGATGGTTGGGATGTTTTTTGGAAGTGAAAAGGAAAATGTGCATGCTGTATTTTCATGATTGTATTGGGGAAGGGCTTGGGGCGGTGCAAAGCAGGGAAGCTGGTAGGTGTGGGGTAGGGCTCAGAAGGGGTTGAGGTTCAGGAGTCAGGGCAAAGGGCAGGAGGTGCGGGAGGCCTCTGGGCAGAGGGGTGAAGGTGAATAGTGAAAGGGATGGAGGGAGCTGGAGTGAGAACAGAGGGTGGGAAGCTCGGGGCAGGAGCGAGGTGGGAGTGCTGTCCTCCTGGTATGCTCTGAACAGCCCCCTCCCTTTCCATGTTATGGAAGACAGTCCTATTCCAGGCATTTCCCATTGTCCTGCTACATCCATATCCTGACCTTGCTTTGTCAGGATAAGAAGCAGCTGCATACCTAATTTGGTCCTAGCTTGTACTGTTTAGGAGGAGTTCTTGAATTAACAGACAGATGGACTTACCAACAGACAACTGCACTCTCAAATATATATTTAGATAGTGTTTCTTTAACTTTTCAGGAAATTTCTATTAACTGATATGACTTATCTAGCTGGATTTTGTTGCTTGCTCTCTGAATTTGCCTTAGTTGAGCTGCTGAATCATTTTCTGGCTGCATAGATCTCGCTAAATGGCGAAGAACTGAGCGAATTGGCATGATAAAACTTGATTTGGTATCAGTGTGAAACCATGGCTGGTGAATATCATAGATTTAACTGGTTGGGGTACTGTTTCATATGCAGTTAAGTCTAGTTAAGAAGAAAACATTGTATAGGAGGAAAAATCTGTACCACTTGAAAGCATTCGCTTGTGTACTTTGTCTATATGGTAAAGATAAAGCAGAGCCTGGGAATCCATTAATATTTCTCCTTCTTGCCTTCCTCCTTATCTCTGCCGCAGCAGTTCTATCATGAACTTGAAGGCCTCTGTTTGATGTAGTAACTGGATATTTGCTGCAGGGTTCCAGTGTGCACCCTGAGGGCACACACAAGCTTTCATTACCAAAAGAGTGGCCCAGGTGTTGGTGTTTTTTCTGCTGTTGGGTTTCCTTTATTCTGTTGAGTAACACCTGTAACTTTCCCAGCTGCATTTATGCAGGGGTGCCAGAGTTCGGCCTACAGCCTGCCACTCCTCTTTAATATGTCCCTGCACTTTGGTGAAGATTTGCTCCATACAAGTGACTGCTTCGAGCAAATAAAGCGTTGCATGCTGGAATCCGTGTGCTGCAGCCATTCTTTCTTTCACATAAGCTGTGGCCAGTTGTCTGGTCAGTTTAATGCCAGTTAGCTGGAAGTCAGATGGCTTTGTGGTAATTGTGAGAGGGGTAATTCAAGACACACGGCTCATGGAATGAACTTCGGTAATAATGGTCAACAGTAGAGCGTAACTTGGATTATGCTGTGCTGTGTCACTTGCACACAAACTCTGCTCAGCCAAACTGAAGGAATAAAACTGAACTTGAGAGTCATGGGGCATGCTGCTGTTTTTTCCCTCTTAGGGGCTTGTGAAGCGTGTATGGATTGACAGGATTCAAGGGGTTGGGGACTGGGAGGAAGCTGTCCAGAAAGGAAATGCCTTATGGATTGGCCTGAAAATGGGAAGATCTCATGCTGATACTCATGCTGCTGCTCTAGATAAATACAATCCAGTCAGTTCTCTCTTCTATTAAATATGGCTGCATATGGTATAACGCTGTGCCATGAGGCCAGATGCAAAATGCAGGCTGTGTAATGTTTAATGTAGAACAAGTTTCTCGTGAGCAGGGTAATCAGAGCCACTTCAGAGTAGTGGTGTCTTCATTTAATGTGGATCATACCTTCACTGGAAACTGGCTGCCCTCAGCTTGCCGGTCTCTTTACAGGTCTGGGAAGGGGAAAATAAGGGATGTGATCCATCTGTCGTTATTTTTGACTTGTGTTGACAGTTCTGTATCAAAGTAGCTGCTCCTTCCTTTAAAAATGCAAGATATTCTTTAAAATGCTGCTGCTTGGGTAAATTTGAGATTAGCGTGCCCTAAAGGCATGGGATGGCTTTTATGGGCTATCTCACTAGTTTCCTTGAGATGGACTTCTGGATTTGTGTCTGGATCCTTTCTTCTCCATCAGAATTTAAACAAAGGATTTTCTGGTGGTCTACCGACGTAGTACAGTGATGTTGCTCTGAGTATGGTACAGATCCAGAACCACTGGAGACTCCGATCTGTCAGGGACTGGGACTATCAACTCTTAAATCCAAAGATTGTTTTAGTTTTCATTTGTACCGCACCTAGTCTGTTGGTATTCTGATGTCAGTTGAGGCCTCTAAGCACTGTGTCTCCTATGTAATAAAATAACTTTTCCTGTGACAAGTTGCTGGGTACAAAAATAAATCGGCCTGGTTTAAGCTACTTAGGCTTAACAGTGAACTGAGCTCATTGGCCACACTGTTCTCCAAATTAGCAAAGCCATAAGATTTTGGTAACATTGTATGTGGTAATTATTGCTTTTTAAAAGCTTTTGCACTGGAGTCCTGCTATACCTTGTATACTTCATTTTGGACATAGAAGCAAATTGAGGCTTGGAAGGTTTTTTATATTTCCCTCCCTCCCTTCCTCCCTCCCTCCCCCCGTGTTTAATGTTAGAAATATTAGGAATATAAAATCTGGGCAGTTTTTTTTACTGAAATATTTCCCCAGGACCCAGAGGGTTGAATGGGTGTTTCCTCCATCCTTTGGTTGAGGACAGTTATATGGTGGTGATCTCTACTCCTCACTCTCAGGCGTTCTATTTTTAAACAGGTTTAGCAAAAACAAACCAGAGTCTTTAATGAGGAATAAAATTGGTTCCTCTCAATTGCTCAGGGTTTCACTTTGTATTTGACATAATCTTACTAATTCTTCTGTTATCTGTAATCTATTAGGTTAAAAAAGGAAACAAGACCTACATTTCAAATGTTAAAAACAAGCAAAAACCTGTTTCTGAAGTAACACTTCCTGTTGTTTTATATAGTACATCCAGGGGACAGTATCCCACCTGGTCACTGTACCTCACCCTTACTTACCCTTGCAAGGCATAAAAGCCAGCCCAGAAATGCTTCATGTGTGCGCTGGGGATAAGCGATCCTCTTGCTTGAAGGCCCTGTTGAAGAGAACTCTCAGACCAGGCCACTGAAGCCAAAGATTCAGTTGGAGGCTGAAATCCTCCAGATGGGTTTTTCTAACTATAAAATGAGCTTTTGAGAATTAAGCTAAAAGGTGAAAAGTTCAGCTCGTTTTCTCCAGTAACTGGGTACTGAGCTGCTGCCTTGGCTCCTATAATTTGCGGTTGGGTTCAGTGACCCTGCTCCTCAATGCATTGTCCTTGGAGTGGTTGCCCCCAAAAAGCCTCAACTTCTCCAGGTTGCACCTCTGAAATCCAGACTCTGGTCCGGAACCACGGTTGTTGCTGGGAGCCCCAACGGGAAAGGGCATCTGGCAAGCCCTGTTCCTGGGATTCCTGGTCGGGCGGGGGCGAAGCGGGGGGATCTGTCCCTGGGGAGCCCCAGCGGGCTGGAGGCCAGTGGCACTGGGGCCAGAGTGGGGCCAGCTGCAGGGAGGCTGGTGGCTAGGGACCATCCCATATCTGGCAAATTCCCTCCTTCTGGAGTGGTCAGATACTGAGGGGGCCAGATGAGGGGTCCAACCTTTAGTATTCTTTATGGAATAAATTCCTTACATTACTTCTTGCAGATGCCTCCTCCCCCTCCTCCGGACAGCTT